GTGTGTGTGTGTGTGTGTGTGTATTGGAATATCTGACCTCATCTCAGTCAATAAACATCACAGCAACACTATATATCAGATCATCATGCAACTATCCAATTCCTCCAGTATGTTCCAATACTCTTCTTTTATAAAGTTAGCATTTTTACTGTCAAGTTGAAGCAGGGTAATTGTACATAAAACTGTAATGGATTGTTATTGAACGTGAAATACCGATTTTGAGATGTTCTATTTCTTTCTTCAGTAATGCCACAAATCTCTCCATAAATCAAATTGTAGCAGAAGTATCATCAGTATCCCACTTTATCCTTTGATAGGGCAGCAGTATAAACTGCTGAGAACATTTTGACAAAAATATCTTCACCTCTGGTTGTGACATGCACTGCTTGCAGAGACAGCACATCTCCTCTTATCTAAAACTGAGGTGTGACTCCTCGCACAGATTGCTAGTTGAGCAATGCCACTTAGGACTACAATCTGATCTACAGTAAAAGGGATAGAAAACAATCTATGCAGTTACCCTCAGAGACTGTGAAAACTCAACAGCCATGTCAGCAATGTGATGGACCCTCACTAATATCTTATCATTTTGCTGGAATAAGACTGTGGCTTAATACCAAAGACAGCCGGTTTCAAAACAAGCCAAATGGCTTTCAAAGCCCTCATCACACCCAGAATTAGATAGAAGCAATTTTATATCCATGTATAACAAATGGAGCCAATTTAGGAAATATTTTCTGAACTGTGCTATCCCCGGCCACCACTTTGCAAATGAAACAGAAGTCAGCTTTCAATTTATCTCTTTAAAAGTAAATTAAATTGTAAGCCATAAAGTCAAAGTTTATGCACTACACCACAGAGAACATTTTAAACATTACTGACAATGTTTGGAGGACATTATGGCCTTATATACACAAATAGCTCTCTGTTAACTAAGAATATCCACAATTTGAGAATTAATCTGCCATGTGCTTGTCCCAAAATAGTTCAGTAATAATATCTTAATTTCATACAAGTCTGAATGTAACATTCTGCTGCACTAGTCTAAATTTTCTTAAAATCCTAGATAGCCCATATCCCCCTGGACTTCAAAGTCTGGATCTGACTTTGGGATTGAGGATCCCTCACATATATACACCCTATCTTGTGGTGGATCTGTTCCTATACAGATTGACAGAGCTGGTAAATGAAGCATTGTACTCTCTGGTAAGCACAACATTTGAGCCCCCATGGGATTCCAGAGTGGTGATAAGCAGATATCTTGCTATTAAGGATTACCAACTTCTGGCTGCAGAATTTAAGCCAGGCCCCAGAATTGAGATTCTCAGTCATTCAGGTCATGGCTGTCTCAAAGGTGCTTTTTCAAAAGGCAACTGGACTTTTTTTTTTCCTTGAAGATGTTTCACATGTCCTGTAACATGAATTGCAGGAATATCTGAAAAGCTCAGGATTTTCAATCAAAACCATATACATTCACACTTTAAACCCCAAAATGCACTAAGGCAAAAGCTTGTCCATCCCAGGGCTAAAACACCCAGACACAAACTGAGCAATATGATATATGCATTACAGTGCAGTTAGACATGTGCAGATCTGTACATGGCAGAAACAGACCAACCATTTCATAAACACATGGCACAACACAGGAAGACAACCCCATCAGGACAAGATTCAGCAGTCCATTTGGAAGAC